TTGTAATGTCATTACCATTATCGTTCCTCTTTTTGGTAAGAGCAATTTCACTTTAGCCTTGACTTTATCATTGCAGTATGCGTTCCATTGATGAGCAATTAATGTCCTTGTTTAAATTATATTATGTGTTATTTAATCGTGAGGTGACAATCGTTTTGAACAAGTGCGCAAATTGTTGCGATGATTTTAGTATTTGTCAACCCTTTTTGCGACCTATCGCTTCGAGAATCATCGTGATTTTCCGTGCGACCGTTAAGAAACTCTGATCGTCATTGTCAAACTGTTTACACGCATTATTCTTCATATTCAGAAATTATTTGATGATGAATATTTATTATACTTTCGTTTTTTTGCGATCAAAAACCAAATTACCGCACGTAATTCGTGAACGGATGTTTTTGCCTCTATTCAGATTTATTCAGCTATAACAAATAACATATAACACATATAGATTTTTCTTTTTTGAGAAGTCTCCCAGAAAGTCTCTTAATTTTGTCTGTAAAAGTTTAAAACTGAAAAGTTGGACTACTAACGTCAGTCTCTTCTACGATTCTCAATAATGCCAAATCTCACACGGAAAAGAGTTTTGCTGAAAATTTAATTTATATAAATGTAACAAATTTTTTGGACCATTAAAATAATTCAGTAGAACGCTCGAACTGATTGCTAAAATATTAAAATTTTTAATTTTAATTACAGCATTGCTCATTATGCTTGAGATTCTCACGTAATTATTTTGATGATTCATGAATTCATCAACAACATTATTTTTAGATTTGTATTTAGCTAAGTTTTTAATTTTGCCAGCAAAATTGTTTTTTTTCTTCAGAAATCTTATTAAAAGTATGCTAAGCAAAGAAGAAGTAATATAAATGTAATTTTAATAAGTAACAAAGTTAAAGAGACATTATTAAAGAATGAACGTATTCATTTACATGTTATTTCTATACAACCAATGTTTACCAAAACGTAATCTGGATTGGAAATCAACTATTATTTATGCATCAGCATAAATAAATAATAATATAACTTTTTAATAGGAAGATATTCTTTATCCTAAGGCTATAACGTTGAAATGTTTCCGCTTTTGCAAGGTAAGCAGCGAGGAAATGCAAATTTTTCTGTTCAGAGAGAGGCGATTTTCCGTCTAAAGTAAAACGAGAGTACTTCACCGCATAATTTTTTGCCTATTTTGCTGATTTATAGTCCCGTGTCGACTTCATTGGTAGTCGATTTTCCTCGAAGTCGGTACATAAATAAAGCTCGATTATACCCATTACTTACAAATCTTTCTCATCGCAGACCGATTTCTATCTCTTTTAACAGTACATTTATAATTTAGACAATAATAAGGAAAAGTTGAATAAATATATGAAATACGGATATGTTATATTATATGTTTATGTTCCAAAGTTATATCGCTTATCTTAATTTAAAAATAAATCATTCATATATGTCTTAAAAGTTGATCTAACAATTTTTTCATAAGTTGTGTGTTACAACTATATTCATTTCTATACATTTTTATCTTTGAACGCTTTTTCGATATGGTATGTTATTTTTTCAATGTTTTTAAAATTCTTTTTTCATTGTTTATGATTTTTTTTATTAATACAGATATATTTATTTGATATCGTTATATATTCCTTAATGTTTGGTATTTTGATTGAAAAATTTTTTTATAATATGTTCATTTTTATGGTATGTGCAAGCAATCGAAATGGGTTGGGCGGTATAATGCCAGCGCATACAATATTTATGACGTCATAAAATTATACAAAATTTATTTCCAATTAATCTTTAACTATGTTACTATCATATACGTATATATTATACACCAGTGTGTTGTTTCCGTAACGTTTAAGGGTTAATTGAAAATAAATTCTGTGTAATTTTATGACATTTTACATGTTATATAAATATCAGATACGCTCGCATTCTCTTCTGCAATATAAAAATAATTGTAAATAAATAACGGTAACTAACACAATCAACACAATTGATAGCGTGAAGAAACTGTAGGTAGCATAAAGAGTTCCGTCATATGCGACCAGAGAGTTTCATCACATTCGATTCGCTGGTGAGTGAGTGGTAGCGCTCGAGGTGATTCCGTGCATTCCCTCTATTTACTGCAGGTGTACGCTTTCCTACGACTGGAGCACACACGATACAAGCCGGGAACATGTATATAAACACGATAAATCGCCGACACGCGTTCGTCGACCGTGTGTGAAACTCCTGCTCGGATCGCTCGTCGAGTAGATCCGTCACGAATGCAGACGCTCACAGCGATGCATGAAGTGCATCGTGGTGCTGGTTGCACTCGTATTTTACGAAGTTTGCTGGTGCTTCGTCTACGTCATTTTTTCCTCGGGGTTCGCGCGCCGGAAGAGTGGAAATCGTCTCTCTGTGGAATGAGTTCCTGATACGGCCGAGCGGTCGGTAGATTTAGACGATTTGCGATCTACTGGAGTAAGGCGAAATAGACGAATGGTAATTTATTGTCTTCCACATACGGAGAGTATTATGGCACATGTAGCGTGATCATTATAAGAGTTTAGTTCCTATTAAAATAATGAGATTTGAATGTAACGTGTATAGACGGTATTCCGTTAATGAAGAGAGAATATCGTACGAGTAATTGATCGCAAATATGTATAATCGCTTCTATTTAATATTTTTGGTAAATTAAATATTATACTTTTTTCATCCCGAAAGAATTTATTCATATAGTTTGATACGTTTGTATTTCATGTATGCTTATTAATATTCTCATAACCTGAAGAATAATATATAATAAAATTTGTAATTTTGAAATATTTTATTTCGTTATGAAAAATATGCGTAGAATTATTTTATTATATTCCAAATGTAAAATAGCAAATGAATTTTTTTAAATTTAAATTTGAATTTTAATTAAGTTGATATTACGCAGAAGTAAGTACATATAAAATGTGATTCTTTTTTTTCTAAAATATAACTATTATTTAAAAATATGACATTATTATATACATTCAAATAATTATTATCAATATAGCACGAATTTAAATAGGTGGGAATAAATCTATAATTACATGAGAGAAATTCTATTCAATCGAAGAGGATCTTACTGCTTAAATATTTCTTGTCTAAATTTATACATATTTTGATTCTGCATACCGCGCGCCGAAATTTTTTTCGGTCTTAAAACGCAGTCACGAGCAGAATCAGAATAGTAATATCACTATTAAATTGTATGTACAAGCAATTTAATAACTTTTTAACGCTAAAAACATTTTTCCAAGAATATTAATCAGTATATGTTAATAAAAATTTAAAAATTGCAAGTAATTGTATAATAAATTCTCTAACTCTAATATTTAAATATTAAAAAATTGCTTAAATTAAATATTCCATTCTTTATCAATTTTTTATCATTGTAATGTTTAACATTGAGTAGAAAGTTCACTCTCTGGAAGTGTTTAGACGTCAAATCCATTGAAGAGCATCCTCAAAGCAATCGCTCGGCCCGTTTTCTAGCACATACGCAAAACCACGTTCTCCCAACATGAATTCACGCTCGAAGTCTCGCCACTCGACTTCTGTCGCTTTAAGCCGGATCGGACCGTCGTTCCTGAACCGAGAGGCAAGATCACTACTTATCTACGATCTAGCTATTCTGTGGATCAGCTCGCGCGAATCCGAGAGTCGATGGTACGGTGGCTGTGTGCCGGTGGTTGGCGAGACATACAATGCCCCTGTATTTCCCACCCTCGACCGACGAGGAGATCCATCTAACCACCAGCCATGGGTTTCTTCCTCCATCCTCTTAACGGCGACCATCAATGTGCCTTAGTCGTTTGCAGAGCCCACCCCGGCTCATCGTTATCTTAGCTGCGATAAGCCCCGCAGGAGAACAGATGACGACGAATATTTTTTCACCCGGGTAAATCTATTTTAAATTCTCATCCTGTCCCCCGTTCTGTGCCGCTGCAAACGGCGCGAAGGTATTAATTTCTTGCGCCAGCTTCTCGTAGCATATTAATTTTCGATAAATCAACATCCGCGTTCCATGCACGCTCTCGTTCATAACCGCGACACACCTTTATTACTCTTCCGCAGTGAAGACACACGATCGAATTGCGGTATCAGAATCTCATTTCGCGGTTAGACGACGCTATCGTTGTTTCACTTTTTTCCTAGCGGCGATATGGCGTGGGAAAACGAGGAGTCGACGCGATGCGCGCCGGTGTTTCCGCTTGACGTGAAACATTACGACAAAGTCGATCTATCTCGAATGGATTGTGCCGGGACAGAAAGCCACGGATGAACAAGTTTATCCATTTATCTCTTCCTGTAGCGGGATTACAAAAAAATTATCTAAAAATGTATATAAAACGTATAAAATATAATTACTATAATAAATATTTTTAAATATATGTATAAAAGAAACAGAATAGTCATTAATCTGAATATAGTATACAATTTTATACTCGTGTGAAGCTGGTCCCCCAATATTAAAAAATCGATTTTTTCTTCATGCATTCGTTTGCTCACGAATGCTCAGTTGAAATTTTCGTATATCTTTTGAACTAAGGGTGAGCAAACTAAACTTCCAACTGAGAATTCGTGAATAAACTGAATGCATGAAGAAAAAAATCGATTTTTTAATATTGGGAGGCCAGCTTCACACGGGTCAATTTTATAACTAAATATTATAATGGAATATTAAACAATATTGTAAATATATTTATTAATGGAATATTGTATTAAATATCTTCATATTTTATATTATATTATTATATATAAATATTAGAAATATATGTATGATGAGAGGTATTTCTGACAAAATTAATTATAAAAGATAAATGAAATGTCTATTTACGTCATCGCTCTCTTCTCCATCTGTCATTGTCGTTTTAATTAAAACGATTTTCACTTTTGGTTTATATTAATCAGATACGTCACAGATTGTGTCACTCACAGAAAGTAAAGAAAATCGTTACTTTTGTGCATTTCAGGATTTCCATGGAATAGCTATTCACGATGACCAATATGAAGTTTTTTCGCGTCATCCTGGCGCTCCTGGGAGGCACGCACGCTTTGTACGCACAACCATCGGCGTCTCCAACTGTGAAAACCGGTGAGTACCTGCCCTCACAATGGACTTGATTACTACTGCGTTATATTACATTCATTCGTCCACTGATCTCTTCTATCGTTGAGATCGAAAGTGCTATTAGTTTTCTTGTTCGCTTTCTAATTTAATAAACACGAGCATTTTTACCTTTATTAACCGTGATTTTTTAACAAGATAGCGCATACAGAATATTGCACGAGATATTATTACAGTGTGAACATAATGCTATTATAAAATTATAGCTACCGCTAGAAATACACGCTGTTGTATCAGAAATTAAATCTTTTATGTCGAATTGTAACAGCGTCCACATACATATATTCGCTTTTTCGTGTTATTATTAATGGATTCAATTCGCGCAATGTTACATGACCCATCATCCTTTATCAATTAAAGTTCGTGCATTTATAACGTCGGTGAAATTAATAAACAATTTACAGCTGCAACAGAGGTTTCAGTATTTTCAAGGCTTTTCATGCAGCACTGCTATACCATAAATGCTATACCATAAATAATAACTGCAGAACAATAATCTTTATTTTATTGAATACACACTGAAATACTTTATTATTATTTTAAAAACGATAAAGTAATAAATATAAATTTTTAATTTCTCTCTACATACACTTTTTAATGAGAAGAACATATAATTAAAAATATAAGAACTTCTCAATGTACATGCAATCTCAGGGTGTATTAAAATTGCAGTAATTCATGAAAGAGATTCATTCTGTTTTTGTAAAGATGTGGAGATGCTCTTGTCAGCTTCATTCTGTTTCCAATAATCATCTTCGAGTGGAATTATCATGCAAATGAAAGCATAGCGTAATGGCATTGTATGTAATTAACGAGTATCCTAGTCTTTTCACTGAGCCGAGAAATGGTAGCAATAAAATATTCGCGAAAGCAACGAATAGAACCAGACAGTAAGCGAATGAGCCCATCCAAGAGAATGACGAGTAATGCGTATGCACTGTTCCGAAAGATAGGATGTCTTTTTACCACAATTTTTCTCATTGAATTACTTTTCCATTTGTCAGGATACAAGAAAGTAGTAATTTATGAGATGAAATAAAATTAATAATTAGTATTCTTTTTGCTATATTTAAATATACTTTTTCTTCTATTCTAATTTTATATATTAAATTCTACACTAATTATATATGTCGTATTAGTTACGCTTAATTAAACGAAATTAGTGTATATTAAATAGCCATATAGGTTTTATAAAAGAGACATATTTTGTTTTAACTTAAATTATATATTTATACGAAACTGTGTTTCATAGATTAAATCTATTATTGTGCTATTTTAATTAATAATAACGAGGAAGCAGCTTTCCTCCCAATCTAGATATCCTTCCCAATTATTCTGAATTCGTTGCTTTAATTATTCAGTTTAATTTACGCAAAATACTATTCATAATTGTATGCAATTAATCGACATTTCAAAATGTGAGATGATATAAATGATTTTCGCTAAATTTTGTATGATCATAAAACTGAACTAAGAGCAATCAATTCACAACTCTCACTGAATTTAATTCGACCATTGAATCTGCGATACGATGTTCTCGCATTTTTTTTCAGTTAGCCTCGGGAACGAATCGGTGTGCTTTTAAGCGTAATTTTCATTCATTACTTATTAAACCATTAATTCTGCATCGAAAACCCGACATGTTTTTATTCGTGTGTGTTCCGTTTAAACCACATTTTTATCTCAAGAATTTTACATAGCTCTATATTATACAATGCTGTTCAATACAGCTTTAACCACATATCTCCGGCTGATAAGCAGAGCATTTACGTTCCTTGATTTCTATCGTGCACACTTCAATTTGTGCTCGCAAACTGCGCGTAATCTGATTGATTCATCACTGCGAATCTGCGCACTTTATTTTCATGAGCGACGTGTTCATATCGGTTTCAATATGAGCGACTCTGCTGCGCCGCAGCGTTCCTTTTTCATACCGAGAGTTTGATGAAACGATCGATTCTCATTTGCTATTTCCCAACAGTGCAATTTTCGAGAAAAAGGTGCCTGAGATTTCGCCTGAACTGTTTGCCGTAGTTTCATAACCGATAGACGAAGACCTAACGTTGTTATTCCGCTAATATCACTGCTTTCTAGAATTTATGCTCTGGCATCGATTACTCTGAATATCGTTGCTAATATGTTTCGCAAGTTTGAAGATGATACACGTGATATACTACACAAATAATCGTAGTTTAGAATTAATTAAGATTGCATTTAAAAATAAAAAATCTATGAGTCTATAAACTAATATTAATAGAATATTAATATTTTTTAATTTTATTATAAATTGTATATTATTTTTTATGATATGAAATGAGTCTTCCATGATTTAATATTTAACAAACTGCTTAACTAAACTTTTCACATTCAATTTTAAGCAATTAATTAAAAATTACAGAGTTACAGAAAAGATCTCATTAGAGAATTTTTGAAATATAAAATACCTAATTTTTAAAAGTGTTATAAACTTCGACTTGGTAATATTATAAACTAGCTTTGACTTGCTAAGGGAACATCCATCAAGTAAAAAATGACTGTAGTAATATTGAAAGTGGCAGCTTCGTATCGATTCGTTCTACATAGAACGCAATTTTTGCGAAAATCGGTAGACTTTTCTATCGGGAGATCTGAAGAAAAGCTCGAGCATTACGTGTGATTTAATGGCGTCGTTGTACCGTAAGTTTGTTACAATGCATAAATTTTGTGTCATTATGAGGCTGTTCGCGATAATTGCGTCGCGTCGCGGCCAACGACTTAAAAGGTCTTCCAGGGTAATTAATTATTGCTGACGAAGGGTGAGGATGGTGATAAACACAGCACACCTGCAGTTTGTTAACCAAGCGGCACACGAACAGGCCCCTAGATATTGTCTCGAAGATTGAAGGAAGCCGTGACGAGATCCGGTAGATATATGATACCATATTGTTGAATCGGCAAAGGCATACCAGCGTTGTTTTAAACCAACGTCGATGTTCTGTTTTGCAATATAGAAGTTTCTCAATTCGGCAACATTTGATTTATATTTATATAATATACTATCATTTCCAGACTATTAATTAAAATAGCGATTCGATTGACATAGTCATCATATCGAATTTTTTTATGGTTTTTGTTATCGCAAACGATATTCTTTTGCAATATTTTTTATTTCGCTAAATATCGACATGATATTTTATACTGAACACAAACATTGAATATTTTTAACGTTATGAATTTTAGTAAGTTGATGCTCTCGCCATTTTAGTGAATTAAACCTAATAGTTCGTTTTAAATAATTAAATGATCTTTATGTTTGATATAAGCTAATTGAATTTCTTATAATAATAGAAAACGATTGTAATTATAATAATATTTAATATTTTACTTTTAGGGTTTAATTATTTTACAGAGTTACTATATTATACATATTACAGTAAATATAGGAAAAAAATAGAATGCAAGAAATTTTACTCCTACGGTTTATTGAGAAACGATATTGCAGCGTATTTCGAAAACTTGTATGATGAATGAGACCATGTATAAGAATTTCCGGTAAATGTGATCGTTGTTTACGTTTCGTGCAGTCAGTATATCAAACGACCGATGACAGGAGGTCGGAATATTGCGCGGGTGTCTTTTTTTCTTGTCGACCGTGTCCGCGCGCTCTTACTCTTCTCGAGATTATATGTGATGGCGTGTATAATGCAGGTCGCACCCAGCCTGACCCCGATATCCATAGCGATGGGGTGCACGTAACAGTCCCTTCCACCGACACCTCTCACCAATCTCGAAACGCGATAAAAACTAAGATTACTGTGCAATGCAATCAGCAGCGTGCCCGATGTTCTTTCAGATTAAAACACAGTTTGAGATTACCGGACGAAACTATTGTTTTGCCAGGAGCAGGCTCCGCAACCGAGATTGTATCTCGATTGCCGGATGCAAAACATGCGGCGACGTTTGAAGATCAACATCGAATGAGGAAAATCCGTTGGCGTTCGATTTTCTGTCGCGCACACTCCAATTGTATCTTCACGCTCGTGTGTACACATATGCATATCACGTATTCTTTTGAGTATCAAAAATTCGACATGTGTCAGAAACGAAAGCTCTTTCTGTTTTTCATGTTTGCGTCAGGGTAGATTTTAAGAAAAATTGAAGAAATTAAAATGTAAAAGTATTGTAGATATATAAAAAATAAGTTACAATATGGATCATAAATTTCTAATTTATAATCTTTTATTTTCAATAAATTATTACAATATTTTACAACAAAATATATAATTTATGTACCATATTATATTGTGGAATATTTACCGAAATATTTCCGATTTGACCTGAAGTGTTTGCGGTTTGCGTTTGAATAGGGAAATTTCAAACAGAGCTAAAACAAGTTTAACTGTTGCGTAATGTTTGTTCAAGATCAAACAACGTTAAAATAAAGAGACTGAATATACACTTTTAATGCAAACAAGTAATGTTTAGAAAAGCTATAAAAAAATCTAAAAGTTGGAAACACGATTTTAAATCAGAATGGATAAAACCTGTATTTTTGTCTCTTAATACTTAAACGTTGGTGACTTTATATGTTATTTTAAATTGTTTAAATATGCTTTTTTAAATTTTAATGTAGAGAAATAAACTATTAATTAATTTAGATTTAATATATATTAAGTGTTATTAGAAATGCATTAGATATTATTTAAAGCTCAAGCAATATGTATACATATATTAAAAAACTTTTAGTTAATTTTGCTATATATACATATACAGTAGCAAAATAATTTTTATAGTAAGTGTTTTGTATTTAACAAAATTTTTCTATATTTTTAATTCTTCAAAGGTATTTGTAGCTTTATTATTTATTAGCCTATCAATATTCCGTAGTTTAGTGAATATTTAGACAGTTATAAATTTTAATGTAAAATGAATTAAAGCATGATACACACACACACACACACACACACACACACACACACACGAGATTG